AGTGGGGTTCAGGTTACCCGTGATGGGCGAGGAGGCGCGGGCGTGATTGGCCGGGCCGGGAGCTCAGGGGCAGCGCGGAGGCCAGAGCTCGTGTTGCAGGAGCGGGAGCAGCAGCATGAGCAGCAGGAGCGGCAGCGGGAGCAACGGCAACGGCAGCGGCAGCAGCAGCTTCAGGTCCGGTGTCCAGTCCGGGTGTCTCCAGCAGGCTGCTTCCCGCACGGCGTGGGTGCCGCCGGCAGCTTGCCAAGGTACCTAGCTGTCAGGCATACGGGACGAAGAGGAGGCTTAGTTGCATATGTACTTTATATGTGCGGCAGTCGGTCCTACGGCTGCGACGTTGGCACATGTCTCACGCCCGTCGTCATGCCCCGTGCTGCGCTGCTCCGTCGAACGTGGCGCCGGGGGGGCCGTTGGGCGAGGACCGACGGCGAGAGCGGGTACATCAGACACTCGCGAACCCAGTCAAGGGGAGGGCAAAAACGAGGCACGACGTGCGTGGGGAGCGCGCGCGCCGGTGGGCCTGCGGCCGCGCGACGGGAAATCAGACGCGGCGGTCATGTGTCTGGTCTGGTGTGCCTGCTCACCATGGGACGGCCCTCCTTTGCGCTGCCAGTGCCGGGGCGGCGGGAATCCAGCTACCCTAGACGTGCAGCCGGAAATTGTTCGCGGCGCGACTGGGGGCTATGCGCGTCTTGGGGGCGGTAGAATGGTGTCGATGAGGTCGCGGCGTTTACTCGTACTAGTTCTGCTATGACTGGGTGTCTGAGTTTAAGTGTGTGGTCTTGAGCCATCTGACCGTTTTTATTTATGAGCTGGTGACAGTTGATATACAGCACAGGACCGACGGCGGGTGGGATCGCCTTGGCCAACAGCACCTCAGCAAGCTCCAGGCGTCAGTTGGGCCGCCACCGGTGCGGGCCTCCACTGATAGACGTGCCGTACAAGAAGCACGCGCGAGACAGACATAGCCGTGTACTAGCAACGGCCGGATCAGTACGTCCGTAGTCCGTAGGAATCAGTCACGTCTGCAACTTTCGCGCAAAAATGCCCATCCTGCGGCGTCCAATGCCTCTAACATCGCAGGGAACCCTTATCCATCCCGCGGGCGGCCCGAAGCGGAAACGCCGTCTCGAGTTCCCTCCCATTCGCTCCGCGACGGCGGCTGCCCTGCACGTTTCCGCGGTTGGCGGCGGCGCTGGGCCCGGTCCCGTTGGATAGCGCAGTACTATTCTCGCAACAGCATGACGGCGGGTAAAGACGGTACCGGCCTAATAGCGCGTCCCCAGCCATGCCCTTTTTTTTTTGTTGCCCGCGACCGCACCCCGGCTCCCAAGGGTCGAGAGCGAGTGTCCCTGTCCCCCCCAGCTGCCTCATTCAGCTGTGAAGCTTTCCAGGGGTCCAGTCGAGGGTGCTTGCCACTCGGAGCGAGCGCGGCGCAAGTCACTCTGCGGCATTTTCGCACCGTCCGAGTACCTGGGTGCTGTCCAGGTTCATTGCGTCCCGTCGGTCGGGCAGGGTGGCTGCCGTCGCCTTACCCAGAGGCAGCACCCAGGCTCTCTCCACCACACCGCACCTCAGTGCACCCTCACCTCAAGTCTCTGGTGCAGGGCGGGCGGGCAGCCAGAGCTCCTATCCATCGTTGGCGCCGCCCGCGCCCGCACCCGCGCCCACCGCTCCCGTCGAAGGGCTGGCACCAGACCTCACCTCACCTTCCATGGCGCCTTCCGCGTCTGAGGTGGTAGTGGATCCCGCCCGTCCGCCTCGGGGTGAAGCGAGTGGATCCATCCGCCTCGCGCGCGCGCTCTTCCACTTCCATCCGCCGCACCACCACCACGGCGGCCTGCAGCCCTCCCCCCCCAGGAGCACTGCACCCCCCAAAGAACCCCCATCCCGGCGAGTCCAGCCTGAAGAGGCCAGCACGCTCCCCCCCAATTTGCGCGCGCGACCACCACCCGCCGCCGCTCCCACCCCCAAGCCCCCCCAGCATCGCGAAACCTCGTTTCCTGTCCTTCCCTCTCCCACACCCGCTCTCGCGCAGCACCACCGCACGTCCACGTCGCAGCTGGTCCACGGCAGGCGTCGCCTCTCTCAGCTGGCACCGCTGCCGTCGCGTCTCCCGCCGACGCCAAACTCGTCTTTTCGTCCCCCGGCTTGCTGGATTGGCGCCTCGCCCGATTCGGTCTACGTCGCCTGTCCGCCCGTCGCCTCATCCGCGATCCCCGGTCCCTGCATTGTATTGCGCCCTGTGTCCCTCTCCTCGCGCGCCGCCATCGCCAGCCCGCGCTGCGTCTGCCCGCGACACCTGCTAATCGTTCGCCGCAGCGCTGCTTCATAGCCATCGCGCGCGCTGGCATCGATTTGAGCGTTGCTGCGCGTACCAGCTGCAACTGCCTAGTCGCCCCCGTTGTGCCCACCCACCGGAAACGACGCGACTTGTACGCCCGCACGCGCATCTCGCCGTCAACCTCGAGCCTACCACGCCTCTGTATCCCATATTGACCCGTCGCCATGGCTCCCTCAGGCAACAGAAGTCTGCCCTCGCGCACGAACCCTCTCATGGTCGAGGACATTCCCGATTGTGCGTCTGATTTTTCTTCTCTTGTCCGCAGTCGCGTTGGTTCGCGTACGCGCGCGCTAACCATCGCCGTTAGACCAGGAGCTCGTCGCCCGACGACGTCTCGGCCAGACCAAGCTGACCCCCAAGATGGTCGGCGGCGACGAGGCCGAATCCGGCGCGCTCGGCGCCTTCGAGTACGCCCATCTGCGCGCGCCTCTGCCCAAGGGCATCGTGTCGGGCATCTTCAAGTCGAGCCCGACCAGCTACTTCCTGATGCGCCGGAGCTTCGACGGCTACGTCTCCGCCACCGGCATGTTCAAGGCCACCTTCCCCTACGCCGAGGCCGCCGATGAGGAGGCCGAGCGCAAGTACATCAAGTCTCTGCCGACCACCAGCCCGGAGGAGACGGCCGGTAACATCTGGATTCCCCCGGAGCAGGCGCTCGCGCTTGCCGAGGAATACAACATTGACGTCTGGATTCGCGCCTTGCTCGACACGGCCAAGATCCCCGTGTCCACCGCCTCGGACTCGCCTCCCAAGAACGTCAGCGCACCCCCCAAGTTTGACGTAGCCAAGGCCCAAAAGCAGCAGCTGGCGCCGCCCACGCCCTCGTCCATCCCGCGCAGCTCGCGCGCGCGGAGGTCTGCGAGCCCGACCAAGAGCACGAAGCGCGCCCCCGCCTCGCCCCGCAAGCGAAGCACCAAGGCCAAGCTTGAGTCGGCTGAGGTCAATGGCGACACCACCAAGAAGGGGGCCAAGCAGGAAGACGTGGTCATGAAGACGTCGGCCTTTGAGCCCGCCGTGGTCTTGGAGCCCAGGGAGGAGGATCCCAAGATCAAGGTCCACGTGGACGAGGAGGTCTCCACCGACGTCAACGGCGTAGAGACGAAGCACACAGTGACGGAGGTGGACTTCCCCCTGCCCACTGCAGGCGAACCCCCGAGCGCGGATGAGATCGCCAAGATGATGGAGGCGGCCAAGGAGATGGTCAAGAAGGACAGGGAGAACCCCGACGCGGCAGCTGAGGAGAAGGGGGATGAGAAGAAGGTCAAGCCCGAGTCGGCCAAGAAGAGCAAGCGCAAGGCTGCCGACATCTCCGTCTCGGAGAAGAGCCCTGGCAAGAAGGGGGCCGACGCAGAGGCCAAGGAGGACGCGCCGCGAGCAAAGAAGGTCAAGACGGCCGCCGAGGTGCAAAAGGACAGGGTCAAGAACAGGGCACTCTTTGGCATAGGAGCAACCGTCGCTGTTGGGTAAGTCGAGTCCAGGATGCGACGGAACGCCGCAGCTGCTAACGTTTCCCCCTAGTGCTCTCGTCCCGTGGCTCGTCAACTTCCTGTAAGACGAGAGACGGCGACTTGGTCAGACGGAACCGACCAGACCAGGTCTCACGCGGCCTGTCGACTTTGATGCATCCCCGTTTCTCGGTGTCAGTAATTTCCCGCATGGAGAGGAGAATACCCCCCTTGTCTCGAGCTCTCGGCCGGCCGGCCATTGGACATGGTGGCCGCGTCTGTTTCCCGGCTTGGCCGTCTGGTCGCGATACGCCCGAGACTGGATTTCGAATTCTTTTACTTTGATCGTTGGTTTTATTTCTTATTTTTGGCTGCCCTACACCCGTTTTATTAAGACTGATATTCCCCCACTTTCGCTTTCTGTTGCGTTTCGCCTATTCCCCCATCTCACTCTCCCAACCGCTCATTTCGGGGAGAGCGAGGGGAGGGAACAAGCAAGCACAGCCGCCTTGGGGCGGCGAGCGTGGTAAAAAGAACAGTATTGTGAGATATAGGCGTACTAGGGGGGGACCGCTGTGGCATGGCTTCACAGGAATCCGGGGCAGTGAAAGGGGGAGGGAGGAGGAGGACAGACAGACAGACAGACAGACAGACGTGGTGGAGGCGTTTGCGCGTCGTGGCGGGGGCCAGGCGGGCGCGGTATTGTTTGTAATGAATACAAGACGTACGGTGCCTCTTGGCTGCGGTTGTTGAGAATGCGAGTCTCGCGATGCACGTGGGCTATGTTTTTGGAAGACTTTGGGGGGGGGGGGGGGGGGGTTTCCACTGACGGAGCCTGTCTTTGGTTCACGTGGGCGGCCTGTGTGATGACTTCTACCTGCGTGTTTATAGGCGTGGGGACCCGGTTAGCAAGAAGAAATGAAAACCGTCGTGAAATTTGCAGGCCCTGATACTTACCGGTGCATCCTCGCGACGAACGACAGCGTGTGTCACAAGTCGTTGGGGATAGCTTCATCTGCCACGCTGGGACGAGGACGGGGCAGGGTGGGAGGCGCGGGCGGGGCTTGCGAGTGCGCAGAGACCACCCCTCTCTCTCTCTCTCACGCGCCCAGGCAACCCAAACGAGGAGAAACGCAAAAAAAGAAGAGAGCTAGTTCCCGCACATGCGTGCGTACAGGAAGGAACGAGCAAGAGCAAAAAAAACAAGCGACTGGTCACGATGGGGGTCGAACCCACGACCTTGAGATTATTAGTCCCACGCTCTAACCAACTGAGCTACGCGACCGCTTTGTGCGCTTGTTGTTGAAAGACGGTGAGTTATTTGCTACTATGCGGTTTTGGGAATACGTGCGTGTGCCTCTTGTCCTGTCTTGGCTGTGTGTGTGTGTGGTGTGTGTGTGGGTGGCATGGTGGGCGGTGGGCGGTGGATGGTGGGTGTGGAGATTCGTTGTGGGAACTCGTGGGTGTTCGCTTGTCTGGTTGACACAAGGTCCCACAGTGGTTCACAAGGACAAGCAAGGGCTCCCTGGATGCCTGGATATCTGGAGGCACACATGCGCCTGCTGACGAGAGCGCCTACTGATTTCGCGAGGGTCTGTCTGTCTGTCTGTCTTTTGCAGAAGCGCAGGACGCAAGTTGCTCGGTGTATAGGATGATATGACATTGCCATAGTGGATGTTAGCCGCGGCGACCATGGGCAGGGCAGGCACGACGGGGAGACGATTGGCTGGCCGTGGCTGCGGGTAGAGAGGGAGGATCTGTCCAAATGGGGAGGAGTCCCGTCCGGGCTTCGCTCCATGTTTCGCAGAAGGTGGTTCCCACGATGCGGGTGCCTGCGCATGCCTTGTTCAAACACGCACTTTTTAGCAGTATTCTTCGACATGACCACGACGTGGATTTGCCGTTCATCCATCCACGCAGACCAGCCCTGCCCCCCATTGGAAACAACAGTGTGATCACCATCATGGTGTCTCATGATATCAGCCCCAGGGTCACAGTGGATCTCTGCTGGTCCGTCTCTGGTGACGGACGAGCTTGATGAGGTTGGGCTGCCCAGCCTTGTTGCAACCGATAGCCCTGCTACGTACAAGTAGTAGCCACCCAACTCGTCGGCGCCATTTCACCCCGACTCGCCGGACGAGCCTGGAAATTCGCGTGTCAGCCACACCAGGATCAAAAATAAGCTTGAATCCAGGCTATTCCACTACAGGTCATGGAGCCCCGTGGAGCAACACGACCGAGCACTTGGCGCAATGTGCCCCCGGTCCCGCGCGACCGCTTCACACACGGCGTAGGTTATTTATCAAGACGGGGGGTGGATGGCCGCCCGCTGCCGAGGACGGAGGGGGCCTTGTGGGGGAAAACGTGGTGAGAGCCGCGATCGACGGGGCGTCGTCGCGGTTGAGCTTCTTCTTCTTCTTCTTCTTCTTCTTCTTCTTCTTCTTCTTCGTCGTCGTCGTCGTCGTCTCCCGCAAGCCCGCCATGTTTCTCGCCGCGTACTCGTACTTGCTCGCGGCACTTCTCTGGGCCGCCTCGTCGGCGCGCGCCCAGGATATCGACCCGCTGTCGAACCTGCGCCCCAACAACGCCACGGGCCTCATCTACTACCTCTACCGCTGGACGGGATCGTACTACAACGGCACGACGACGCTGCGCATCGAGCCGCAGGACATGATGGACGACACCGAGTGCGACACCTTCGCCAGGGGCCCCGTCGAGCTGTCCTTCAACAACTCGCTCCTCGCCGTCGTCAAGTCGAACCGCTACGTGCCCGAGCAGAACGAGCTCACCTTTTCGCTCAAGTTCTGGGACAAGAGCCTCAACATCACCCCGCCGTCGAGCAACCTCTTTGGCGAGGGGCCCATCAACGACATTCAGACCATAGATTCCGTCTACTCGTACGTAAAAAACGCACCGTCGCCTCCTCGGGCCTCTGGCCTCTTTACCCTTTCAGGCCACCCCCCCCTTTCCTCCGTTCCCTTCACTGGGTGCTGCGCTTCAACGCGGCTTGACTCGACTCGACTCGACTCGACTCGACTCGACTCAGGCTGGCTGGCTGACACCACCCACCATCGCACCGCCCGTAGGATGAACCGCTACAGCAAGCCGAGCGAGGGGATCCCCCCGCCGTGGAAGCTCAACACGACGCACGTCGGCGGCGCGCAGTACACCTTCAGCGGCTACCGCAACTACACGCAGCTGCAGGGCGTCGGCTTCAACTACAGCACGTGCGTGTCGTCGGCGCTGGCCGAATACCGCGGCGCGCTGCTCAACCCGTCCAAGCGCAAGAGCCGCTTCGACAACCTCACCGTCACGGCCTTCCCCACAGTGAGCGGGCGCTTCGACAACGACACGGCGACGCTCGAGATCCGCGCCGTCATCAAGAGCGGCACCGACGGCGAGGACCACGTCCACGGCAGCTTCCTCGGCGGGCCCGTCACCATCAGCTTCTCCGGAAAGATCGACGCCGACAGGTCCGACACGCTGCTGTCGAGCGCCAACGACACGCCCACGTGGAACGCGACGCTCGGGTATCAGAGGGACCTGATGGGCAACGGCAGCGCGGGCTGGACGGTCCGCGTCGGGGGGTGGACCATGGGCGTCATGGCTACGGTGGCGCTGGCGTGGGTGTTGTAGGGCCGTAGGCAGCGTGCTGGTGGGTGGGTATACGCGATATAATGACGGTTCGATGATGACAATTCGATGATGACGAAGAATAGAAGACATAGACCGCGCGGTTCGTAACCAATTCTCTCAAATCCGGCGCCGCAGACTTGGGCAAGTCGTCATTTTCTCTCACCTCCTTCGTAGAGCTGGTCTCCCGCCCGTCGGCCGACTGAGGATGGTCCTGCGAAGTCAACTTGGACCAACGACGCCAAGCGGCCGTTGCTTGCGGAGGAGACAGGAGGCAAAATGTTGAACGACAGACGTACGTGTCTCGAACAGATTCACCAGGCCCAATGCAAACTGCATAGTGACCGATCGAGAACTTACCCACTTCGCATACCGGGCGCACAGGTTGCTGATTTTGCCGCCAGCAGGCACCTTTAAAAATAAAAATAAAAATTGAGCCGGTTCCCATGCCCCGGTTCGACTTTCGAACCGGCGGTCTCACTCGCGTACGAGCAGCGCTGGGCCATTGCGTTAGCCAGCCATGAGCAACCGGCTCCCTGGGACGGCTGATTGAATGAGTTTATGAGGGATCCGTCCATCCGAGTTGATACTGTTGCACAGACAAGGATGGAGGAAGAGGGGCTGCTGGAGGTGTTGGGGAGACGTCGGGCTGCGTGCATGGACGGCCGGGGGTTTGCAGAGAGTCAATGTCTGGAGTCTCGACGCCACAGCGGACGGGAGCGCCGTTCCGTGCTGTTGTGGCGACCCGTGTCCAGGGGCTGTTGGCGCCGTAGGCGTTGTTAGTCAGCGCGCTCACCGGGCCTTCAGTGCCTCCCGTCGTCTTCCCAACGTCCACGGGCTGACGCGACCCTCGCGTACTTCGGACCGCGTTGCTACAATCTGCACATCGCGTTGCATCGTCCACAGGCCGCGGTGCCCGCTTCGCATCAGTACGGCCGCACCATGGGGCAGGAGGTACCCACCGCCGCCGCCGGCATCCGCCTGCTGGTAGAGGCGCCGGCCACTTACACCCTTCTCTTCATCGGCGCCGTCTTGCTGTGCCGCTACTACCTCGCGAGGTCGCACGAGCCCTCCAAGACGAGCCAGCTCATGCCGACCTACGTGCCGCTGGAGATTGGGCTCAGCACGATCCTGCTGCAGGGCCGAGGGCTTGCTTCCTATTTGCCGTGCGTCTGCCGTCGGGGTACCCGTGCCTGATGGCGGCTCGCATGAGGTGCTAACGTTGACAACACAGCTTCGCTCTGCGGCGCCGAGCCGGCTCGCTGTTTGGCGTCACCCGGCGCCATCAGATCTTGTATAACCTGCCTGGCGTCGACAAGGTATTCGCCGTGGGCCATCGCACGCTGGACACGGACCCCCTGGGGCTCAGCATGGTGTTGCGCGTGTTTGGCGGCCGCGTGCCCCCGGAGCTCAACGAGAGGTTCTCGGAAGTGTGCAAAAAGCTCACCCTGCCCGTGGAGAAGGGCTTCCTCAACGACGAGGCTGCCACCGCGGCGATTGCGAGCGCCGACGTGCCCGGAAAAGTGGGCGATCTGCTGTCCTTCTCGGAGGATCCCTCGCAGCAGCGCCGCTGGGAGCGGGCGGCCAAGGTCGTTGTCCTCGACGCGCAAAACGGGACAGACAAGTCGAGAGCCGTCGAGGTTGATCTGGAAAATCTGCTGCGGGACCTGGGCGCGTGCATCTCGATCCCGCAGCTATACGGACAGGACTTCCTCGACCGCAACCCGACTCTGCTGGACGACTTCTGGAAGTTCGACAACCACGCCTTTCCGCTGCTCGTCGCCGGAGCCCCGAAATGGATCCCCATCAAGTCGTTCAAGGAGGGCGTGGCGGCACGACATCGTCTGCACCTTGCGCTGGCCGGCTTCTTCGGCCGCTTGGACCAGTTCATGAGCGGCGAGCCCGTCGACTGTGACGCGGACATGAGCGACGTCAGCGCCGTCGCCAAGGGCCGAAACGCGGCGTATAGGGAGTTTGACGTCCCGATGGACAATCGCGGAGCGCTGGAGACGGGGACGTTTTGGGGCCTCAACGCAAACTCGCAGCCGTTGGTGTTCTGGTTCATCTTGTACATCTACGCCACCCCCGGGCTGGTGGATGCGCTGCGGAGCGAGGTCGAGCCCCATCTGGCCGTGTCGAGAGACGGCGCGCTGCCGCCGCAGGTCACAAAGGTTGACATTGCGGCGCTCGGGCGCGACTGTCCGCTGCTCAAGTCGGCCATGTTCGAGACGTTCAGGATGGCCAACGAGCCGACGTCGATCCGATACGTCGCGCGCTCGATGGTGGTCGCCGACGGGCCGCACCAGCACCACCTCGACGCGGGGACCTGGATCTCGGTGCCCCACGCCGGGATCCAGAAGGAGGCGTCCGTCTTCCCGGAGCCGGACAGGTTCGTGCCGGATCGGTTCCTCGAGGTGGACGAGCGGACCGGCAAGACGGTCGCGCGGTACGGCAGGCTGAAGCCGTGGGGCGCCGGCGTCGGCATCTGCAAGGGACGGACCTTTGCGGAGAAGGAGATCCTGGTCATCGCCTCGTGCTTCATCACGCTGTGGGACATGGAGCCTCGCGGCGGCGGGCCGTGGAAGGTTCCTGGCTCGGTGCCTGGGACGGGCGTGGCGCGGCCCAATAGAGTAGTTCGCGCCGTGCTCCGGC